ACTGGATGGCTTCAATAAAGGAAGGTAGGTCTCTACTGTGACCTTCAAAAATTCTCATATTCCGCTCTCTCCATAGGTTCCAAGTGAGTACAACAATTGAAATCCTCCAAAGCTGAATTCCCAATGCAGAAAAAGGAAGGATCCACAGTTGTTGCAACCAGGTATGTGTCTCAGCATGTCTAGAGCCAATCCAGTTGGCAAAGCCCAGGCTGAGACAAAAGGGCAATGGATGAAAACATGGTCAATAGATTCCTCATCGCATTTGCAAAGCAAACATACATTGGTGAAGATGAACCGCAATCTCCTTAGCCGATCAATAGTAAGTAGCCTTTCATAGCTTAGCAGCTATAAAAAGGTTTTTACACGATAAGAAACTTCACACTTCCATAGCTTAGCTAAAGAAGGCACGTCAACGATATATTGGTATTTGTAAATTGCATGGTACAAAGATGAGGTCGAGAATTGACCATCAGGTTCCAAGGACCAGACGATCCTGTCTGGTTTCTTGGGATAGTAGCAGAAGGCATACAACGATGCCAACAAGGCTTGGAACTGTTCGGCAACAGTAGCATCAACTCTCCGAGTACGAATCATGATATTCCAAACCAGTTGATCTCCAAAGACTGTTAACATATTCGCAAGCATCTCATGTTTTTGCGTAGATCTATTATAGAAAGCAGGATAAATGAGTTTAAGTGGACAGTCGCCCAACCATTTAGCATGCCAAAACCGAGTTTGGGTTCCACCCCCCACTAAAACTCTCGAGTAGACTATAAAGACCAGTTAACTTGTTGAATCCCCTTCCAAACAAGTGAAAGTCGGGATAGTCTTGGGCACCTTTTAGCAATAAAGCCGTCAGGGTCCTTCCCGTATTTACCAAAGATGACCCTTGCCCACAGTTGGTCCCTATTATTGGCAAGCCTTCACCACTTGTAAAAGAAGGCTGCAATGATCAGCATTATCCCACGACAATATATGGAGTAGAATACCGCAACTAAGGTTGTTGCTCTATATAAAGTATGCCATTTTTCTAAGGAAAAAGTTTATATAAGGTTGCAACCTTAAAATGTAGAATTAAAGTGCACATCAAAAAACCATTATCGAAGGTTGTTTTGATGTTGGAAACCCTCTAATTGATTATCTCGACATTGAGATGTATGAATATGAAAAAAAAGAAAGAAAGAGATTTTAAGTCCTAAAAATAATGTCTCTTGCAACACAATATCTGAACCGTAAAATTTCAAAATTTTCAAGTGTTTATATATCTATTTAATTTGAACCACTTTTGAAGTTTAACATTTAATAATTAGAGATGAAAATAGATTCTTAAATTATCCTAAGAATTTTTTATACCAAAATTATATTTATGATAAAATTTGGAGGTGCGCCTTAATTTGATTGTTTAAGGTTGCAACCTTATACAAATTACACCCTTTTTCTATCTATTTAAGAATGGACGAAGTTTATATAAGGTTGACACCTTAAAATGTACAATTCATGTGCACCTTTAAAATCATTCGGAAAAGTTGTTTTAATGTTGGAAAAATATAATTGATCATCTCGATATCAAGATGTATAGATATGAAAAAAAAAGAGATTTCAAATTCTAAAAATAGTACATCTTGTAACAAATGGTCTATTATCAAGATTTTCATACCTTTATAGATATGCTTGATTTGAATCATTTTTTAAGTTTAAAATTTCATAATTAGAGATAATAATAAATTCTCGCATCATACGCTAAAAATTGCATCTCATGACAAAGTTTGGAGGTGCACATCACTTTGATTGTTTAAAGTTGCCACACCTATTTTAGGAGTTGAAGTTATTTCTTTATTTGTATCCATACATCTTTAAGTGGAGATGATAAGATTGGAGGGTATTTCAATGTCGTAAAATGTTCTTCCATAGGATTTTTGAGGAGCATCTTACTTCAATACTATAAAGTTGATACCTTATAAAAACTTCTTCCTTTAAATATAAAGAACAGATACATATTCGCGAAATATATAGATACAAAAAAAATAAAAAAAATTCAACAACTAAAAATAGTATATCTTGCAACAAATTATTTTGATCGTCTATTTTTAAGATTTTTAAGTGTTTATAGATATGTAAAATCTATACTATTTGTTGTATTATAAATCTCATAACTAGAGATGTAAATAGATTTTCAAGCCATCATAAGATTTTCTACACCTATATTTTCAGGCAAAATTAAGCGGTATGCCTTGCTTCTAAAGTATAAAGAGGGCACATCATACAAACCTCACTCCTATTTAAAGTACTCTATTTAACCAAGCATATTATTTTATTTTCAAAATTTCAATATCGAGAAAACTTCAAAATAATGATGAAAATCTAGATATACACAAGACTTTGGGGAATAATGAACTTTTGGGGAATAATGAAAAGATAAGGAACAAACTTTTTTCCGATTAATTTGAGGAAACCATGAAATGAGAAAAAGGAAAATATTATTTCCAATTTAATCCGTCAAATTTAAAATAAAAAAATGGATTAGAAAATCATTTTCAGAAGTAATAAATTATAAGATAAGTAGGCAAGCATGTGACAAAGGGGTGTGTCGAAACAGTGGAGGTCTGTGCATGGGAATCCCCTTTAACAATGGAAAAAAATTTATATTAAGGTTGCAACCTTAATCTGTAAAATTAAAGTGCATCTCAAAAATCCTTCAGAAAAAGCGCTTATCATTGGAAAACTCTGTAATTGATCATCTTAACATCAATATCTATGGAAATAAAAAAGAAAAAGATTTCGAGTGCCAAAAATAGGACATCTTGCAAAACATTATCTGGACCGTCAATTTTCAAGATTTTAATATGTTTATAGATATAACTTGAATCATTTTTGAAGTTTAAAAATGTATAATTCGAGATGAAAATAGTTTTCCAAGCTATCTTAAGGCATTTTGACACCAAAATTACATATTATGATAGAATTTCGAGATGAGTGTTATTTTGATTGTTTAAGGTTGCAACCTTATGCAAACCATAACCTTGAAAAATTGTAAGGCCTAATCCGGATGGAAAAAAATAAAGCCTCACTTCAAAACTCAATGACGATTGTAGTTTTGGCATAAGAAAGCCTTCAAATTGATCATCTAAACTTTGACCATTAGGGATGTAAAAAAATAGGATTTCAAATTCTAAAAAAGTTTATATTATAATAAAATATCTAGACTTTCCATTTTCAAATGTTCATATATATATAAAATTTGTGCTGGTTTCTAAGCCATAAATTTTACAATATTGGCGGATATGAATTTTAGAGCCATCATAGCGATTTCACATACCCGAAGTATTTTCTAGACGAGGTTTCAAGCTGAAGACTTACTTTTCTGTATAAGGCCTTGGCTTTATAGAAACTGCATCCAAATGTAAAAGGGTGCATTTAGCTTAAAGCATAAGTCTTAGGCTTTACACTGAAAAGAAGAAAACATTTTCAAACTCACATAACCATCTTCACATGCAAAGAGTTCAAAGGAAGGAATTTATCAGCTTGTTTTTTTTCCCCACGTTTGTAGGCATGTGTGAAAAACCCTATATAATCAATTTCTTTTGAGGCCTTATAATGATCTGTTAGGGCTTCACAGAAACTAGGTTCACAGTCTTCATAGAGAGAGCTAAAGTGTTGCCAACAGTGAAGGGTTGAGAAGAGGAAGGAAGCATAAGATACATATGAATATTATTAACTATAGGATGGTGTTTGTATAGGGCTTAGGCTTTATGAAAACAAAATAAATCCTCGTCTCAGATCATCGTTTGAAAAGCACTTTCGCCAAAGGAAATTTCATGATGGATCTAAATTAATTTCCAACACTGATGATAAAATTTGAAACCTAAAAAATAGTATAGATCTTGCGGATCTATGAACACTTAATTTTAGGGTGAAATGGATGTTGTAGATAATTTGTTATAATATACATATTTTAAGAGCTTAAAATCCTAAATTTTTTTCACAATTAATATGTTCAAGTCGAGATGATCGATGTAAAAGTTTTGCAATGCTTGAATTATAATTTTTGATGAATTATGAGATGAAGCTTTATTTATTTTGATAGTGCTCCAGCCCTACCAAACCATTTTCCTTAACTATACATTACAAAAAATATAAATTTTTTAAATTTTTAGATTTGGACCTTACCCAACCTACCTGGTTGGATTAGGTCCACATCTAAGTTAGATCTTGTCTGGTTGGGTCCCGGTTGGGTTAAATTAGACCCAACCCTACTAAGGGGGGAGAGAGAGAAAGTGTTTTGCGTAAGGTTTCGGCTTCATGAAGGAAAACTGGTATGAAAGAAATTTTTTTTGAAGGCATGAAAATAAATTTTTTTATTTTGGGCTATAAATAAAGAAAATGCTTTTTGCCAAATATATATATATATATTTATGTTCCAAATTTTGGATCCAAACAACACAAACAGAGAATTTCCTTTAAAAACTATTTTTTGATAAACTTTTTTAAAGGATACAAACGACCCTAAGGTTTTCACGGTTTTGCTTTTCTTATTCTTTCTTAAAACTGAGGCCTTATGTAAATCACTGCTCAGATACCTTTCGAAGTTCACGAAGTTCTCACAATTGATGGATACGAGGAGAGTTGTTTTGTATCCTTAGCCACCTGTACCATATTTTTGCTAGAAAGCACTGTCAGCAATCCTCTCTAGAAAGCACTTTCAGCAATGGAAATCTCCGTAGTTTTAAAATTAATTTCTACCATTGATGATAAAATTTGAAATTCAACAAATTTTAGGGATCTCGTAGATCTTTGGACACCTACTTTTAAAGAGAAATAGACCTTCTAGATAAGTTATTAAAATGTACACTATTTTTTTATTTGAAATCCTAATGTTTTCAAGTCGATGATTGATATAAAGATTTTCGGATGCTTAAATTATAAATTTTCAATTAATTATTAAGTGAGGCTTTACTTATTTCGATAGAGCTGCAGTCCTATCAAACCATTTTATTTATTTTGATAGGGCTCCAGGCCTTTGAAACCATTTTCCAATAAAGAGGGGTTTCATAGGGGAAAAACATCGTACAGATGAGAGGTAGAGAAACATATATAAGGGGACAAAATAAGGGGTTCTAAGTTGACAGAGTTGATGGCTCTTCTCAAAGGCCCTGTTTTTGTTGGGCTGCTGGTGATGCTGGCTTTGGGGTGTGCTATGTACCTCAGGCTATGGTCTGTTCAGTCACAAATCTCTCTTGAAGACCCACAACTCATCAGGTCTTTCTCTCTCTGTGGGGCTCATGTTCTCAAGTTTTTGGTTAAGTAATTTGTTCTTAATTCAATTTCTGTTTTGTTGGGTACTGATGTTGATTGTATGATCAATAGGATGGACATTTGTTTCAGCGTGCCAATTGATTGATTGCCTTGATGCCCGTGTGAAATTTGTACAGGATCACAACAAGATGAACTCCGCATGTTTTTCTAGTTTTTTTATTGATTCATTCATTGATATCCATTTGAACTTTGTATATGATCATAACTAGTCCATGCTTTTCTATTTTGTTTATGATTGATTTCCTTCAAATCTATTTGAAGTTGGTTACAGGTCATAACAAGATGAATCCCCAGGCATTTCTAGCGTGTTTATTGATTGATTTCCTTAAGGAAATTTGAAATTTGTAGATTCTCATAACCCTGGGCTCAAATTCTAAAAAATGAGCTTACTTTCCACTAGATGATAGTTAAAGTGCAATTCTAATTATTTCCTTGTGACCCACTTGTGAACCCATCCTGTTAAATTGTAAAATGGGATGAAAGTCCATAATTTCTTTTATTTACTTATAATTCCTTGTATTTTCTCTCTATTTAGGCTTTCTCTTACTCTCTCATTGTTGTCACTAACAGATTTAGAGTCGATGGTAGTCTAAAGTTGAAAAGATAGTACTTAGATATATTCACCTTGCCCTATTCTTTTTTTGTTTTTTGAGTTTGATCCTTTTCCTCTTTTTGGTGTACCTTTTCTGATCCCCTTGACGCACTTAAGATTCATTTTAACTAATTTTTTCTTTGTAAGGATTCATTATAATTTGCTTGTACTTTTCCTGTGAGGATTTCATTCCATCAAGTTTTTGGTCAGTACCTTTCATCAAATTTGGTCGCATTTCTAAGACACATACAAATCAAGAAATGGTCCCAATTTTTAGATATTAAAATGGTTATAAGGATGGCTGAAGAAACACGAATTTTGTGACACATTCAGTAATTTTGTGGAGGCACTTTTATCTTGAGAGCTTGTTTTGCTATATCGGAGGAATTATTTTTACCTTGAAAATTATTTATGCTTTTTCTTCTTCTATGCCTTATTAACTTGTATGAGTTTGCTCTCCATTGATTGCAATATCATGGGGACTTCTTAGTACTATCACTAATTCTCTCTTTCTATCTAACACCCCGCACCCCCCATATATTACATGGAATCTGAACCGACAGACTAAGCTTACTAGTCGAGAGAGCCAAGTAGGTTCATAATTCGTTTGAGTAGCACTTGCGTATACTTTTTTATGTATCATATATATCGTATACGTTATGCAGGTTACAGTTCGAACGTGCTCACAATGAAGCATTGGATGAATCAGCCGAATGGAGAATGAAATATGATGAGGAGGCGGAGAGGTCCAGGAACTATATGCAGGAGGTAGTCGAGGTACGGAAATTTTCCTCTTTCTTGGTTTAAGCATACTGTTTTTCTAAGAAGTAAGTTGGGCCTTATAGCTAGCAAATCAATGATTTGCAATAATGCATGACTCATGGTATCTTCTATTTTTTGAATTATTTCTATTATGGTTAGTTGTAGTTGTGTTGCATTGTAGGGCATGTTGTAATTATAATGATTAGTGTATTTTGTTAAGGCTACTGATTTCTATTTTTGTGGGGATTGTATACTCTGACACCATTTGTCTTTCTTACAAGTAGGTCACAATTACTCCTAGCCATTAGATGTCACATTGGATGGCTTGTGGTGTGCCACAAACTTCAAGAAATTTCTTTTTTAAATTTTGAGTCTGTTCAATGACATTCTCACAATTACCTGATTTGAAATCTGATGGACAAGAGTGTTTGTGACCTCCATGTACTAAAAGTAAATGGTCTCTTTGTATACTTTTCCATTTTTTTCAAACAAAAAAGGAAGGGGCAGTTGTGTTATCTGCTGGTACTCATGAGGATCTATGAGTAACACACTATGAAACCCTTTTCATTTCTCTTCCTCACACTTTAAGGCCATTCCTTTCTCTTCTTTTTACCTATTGTTTATGATATGGGATTTTTTATGGTATGGGATTTTTAGAACCAAAAATTGACCTTTGTTATTTGGATACCTCAGGAATGGCCTCACACTTTAAGGCCATTCCTTCCTCTGTCCTTCACAAATTTGATGAATGGTTTGGATTGGGTTATAATCTAGTTCCCTTTATTGTTTGGAACTCTATTTATAGGTGGGATGCATTGGAAGTCTTGAATTCTTTGTCACCTGAGGTATACTCTTCCTCAAGCTAGTTTTCCCATTTGATGCATTAGGTGGTGGCTATAGCCATTATTTTACCCATATAGAGGACCTGTTTCCCATGGGGCATCAATATTCAAACAAAAATTTTGCTTTAGTCATGGTCTTTCTAAATATATAAAGGTCTGATACTTACACACAAACTTGTCTCTTCTTTTTCTGGGTATACCCACCTGGTTGTTTGTGAGAGAGAGGTTTGAAACCAACCCTCTCTCATTGCAAACGGGGCATCTCACTGTTAAGCCGAAGGCTTAGTTGAAAAAAACAAAGAGAAAAATTGTCTCTTATCGATTATAATAACGACATCTGAAGTTTTATTAGAATACGTCATGTTGCAAGTCTGAGAACTACCCCTGAAATGCAAGAATCTGTTTCTTCCCTCCATGAGTAATCAAACAACTTTGGTGCTCTGGTAGACTGATATGATTGATTGAGATGTTTTTTGAATATTGACTTGGGACCTCGGTAGGAACAGAACTCTAGACATCATGTTGTGGTTCCCTGCCTCCTTGACCACTCAGTCCTAGAGGTGATTCCTAATGATTGGTTGAAATTGCTGTTGTAAAATGATTTACCGCTTACTTCTATCTATCTAACCTAGTTTGGAACAAGAATTGTATTTCAATTTTTGATTTGAATTCCACCTTTAGGTAGGACTCTTGATAGAGCAGAATGGCAGACCAGGATTCATGTGGCCATCCCAAATAGTTGGGAAAAGGCTGTGCAATTTTGGTTTGAATTCTACCTTTAGGTATGGCCTTTGATAAAGCAGAATGATAGATCAGGATTCGTGTGGCCATCCTCAATACTTGGGAAAAAGCTTTGATGATGATGATGAATTCCACCTTTAATTTTCTGCAAAGAAGAAAAGGGGACAAACAATGTGCTAACAATGCTTTCAATGGGATGCATAATGGTGAATTACATAGGAATGGAAATAGTGTGCACATGCATCAGGAAGTAGGTAAATTTAATGTAACTAGTCATTCAGTTTCAAAAACATCCCCAACTTGTAGCTATATACATTCATGAGCGTTAGATACGGATACATATGTCAAATATGTTAATATCAAAATTGACCTTGTAGACACTTCAAACGGTGCACTATTAAAGAAAAGGGGAAGTGGGATTTTAGGTGGCATTTAGTACTTTGTCATGAAATTTGAAAAAGAAAGGTAAATAAGAGGTGTCCATGATCTAAAGTGTCAGACATAGATTATCACGTACTTGGTGTGTCGACATGCCAAAAGACCAGGGCTTAAGTGTCCATGTTACACAGCTTCATGAGCACCACAAAATCCCTTAAAAGTCTTCTTGTGTTTATGGCTAGGCCCTTTCACATTAAGCTAACTCGAAAGTTGCTTCATTTTTTAATTACACAAATATCATTTAAGCTTGATATAGTTGCACATCATGAAAGTTTTGTGGTTGGGTGTATATCCTTTGTGGTCTTGCCTTTCGCTTTGCTTTCATCCAAGTCCATACAAAACTTTTACAAGTTTAAAAATGCAATGAATGGCTTTCCAATAGGAAAGTTGAAAATGAAAAGAAAACTAGGTTAAACTCTGACAAAGAACAAGTTTCAAGGGGTATCAGTGAATAAAATTTTGCTTCTTTGAAAAACCTAGCGAAGATTATAAATTTGTTGATATTCCTTGCAACTGTGAAGCATTACTGTAGGTCGTATGTGATTTATCATCTCAAACCACATTTGGATGGTTCATAACTTGTTTGATGTTATATTTGCTTTTCTGTTACATGTCATGGTTATGGAGGATGTTGAGTGCTGTATATTATCTCTTTATTTTTTTAGATCTTCGGTCATGGCTTCTGGGATATTGCCTTGAGCTTTGGTCTATTCTATCAGTTTTTGAGAACCAAGACTTGGGTTGGACTCGCTAGGGTACTCATCCCCAGTCACCCTGTCCGACTCATACTTAGTCGGTAAAAAATCAACAGTAAGAAGTTAAAAAGGGTGAGACTCAGGGCGATTCCTGACTTTTGCTTGCAGAATTACCGAGGTCCAAATCCGAGCCAACTTAGGGAAGTCCTAAATCAGTCCAGTAATTTTAATCGTTGGTTCTTATGTTGTTGTAGCGAACTATGTGTTTTATGCTGTCTTGTTTGATTCCAATGCCCGGGGAAAATTCTCTCCCACTCTCTTGCTCTCTCACACAGACACACACACACACACATACAGGTTGGACTTTTCTCAGAGAATTCTATTCTTGTTTCTCTTGAAGAGTCTACCATTAGATTGACCTAAATACTAGCTATCCCTTATAGAGACGTTCCAAACTCGCCACATGCCCCTCCTCTTCTGTCTTTATGAGTTTGTGTCTCAGATCTGTGCATGCATGCACACACATTAACATTAAGAAAGTAGACATGTTAATATATGGGCTTAAGATGCATCTATGCATTGATATGATAATTAACTTCCCAAGTCTTTGAATGGATGTGGGAAATGGAGAAGAAGCTTGTGAAATTTCTTTTGTATGTGAAATTAATGGGCTCGGATAAATTTTTCTGTTTTTTTTGGCAGATGAAAGAGGTTCTTGAGAAGAAGAGAGAGGAAAATGAAAGCCTGAAGGGCCTTCTTGATACCTTACAAAAGGTGGCATTTGGTAGTCTCATTTTCCATTTTCCTTTGGAGAGTGGTTACATAAGCCCGGCGTGTCGTAATCAAGCACATCTTGACCATCCATTCCCATGGTGGATGGTCCCATTACAGTGCGGGTCTAACATTGCTAAAATGTGGGTCCTACCTGTTTACTGTTTGACAAGATCATCCATTGGAAATGGACGGTCAAGATGTGATTGCTTATGATAAGTCATGCAAGGGTATGCAATCTTCTGCTCTCTCTTTAATAGTGTTCTCTCTTTAATGGTTTAACTAGCTATTGTTGTTTGGAAACAATCAAAAGACCCTTAATTTCTCCTATTAAATGTGATAGATAGAGGTATATATTGACTGGAGGGAAAGTATACTATGATCCATACCACCATAGAAATCTATGGCCGCAAGTGTCTATCACCGTTCAATCATTACATAAATGGTGATGAATGACTTGGTGACAATTATCTACTGATAAATTCATTTCATCTTTATTATAAAGAAAAATATATGAAGAGACCATTTGTTGTTAATACAAGGAGGTCACAAGTACTAATGTCTGTCAGATTTCAAATCGGGTGGTTGTGAGAGTGTCATTGACTAAACTCAAACTTCAAAAAAAAATTTCTCAAACTTTGTGATACCCTAAGCCATCCAATCTGACATCTAATGACTAATAGCGATTGTGACCTCCTTGTAAGAAAGTTAAATGGTCATATAGTATATAATCCCTTATTTGAATAAGTTCTAATGCAATAGTCACTCCGATAATATCCAAGAAAGATACAATCCATTAATATGTTTACTCGTTACTTTAAAATTATTGTGAAATTTATCATTTATAAATTTGTGATGAAATTCTTAGCATATATATGTTTTTCATTGTGGAATTTGAACTAGTATTTTCTATTTTAACAACAAATTTATGTTATAATATAATAATGTGAAATCTGACAATTTAGGTGTATCACACAAAGTTTAAAAAAATTTCTTTTAAACTTTGAACCTAGTCAATAGAATAAATGTAGCAGCTTAATTTCACATTTATTAGTCAAGATTTACTAAGATCTTAGTGTACTAAATGTAAAAGCGTATTGTATACTTTTCCGATGTATAATATATTAATTCAATATATTAAATTCCTGATAATTATCTAATAAATTCCGCTTAAATGACAAATACATTTTGATAAAAAACCGCAACATTAATAACCCATGAATGGCAATATTTCTCATTGAGATGAGATGAGATGAGAGAGAGAGAGAGAGAGAGAGAGAGAGTACACTAGGGTCAGGCCAAGTTTTGGTGGGTCTCACCTTTTTCCGATTAATGAGAGGTTAATGGGATGATTAAATGGAAAACTTCAGACTTTCAATGTTTCATTGGATCATAAATATAGTTTCCCTTGAGGCCTTCACCCATAGATCCATGTTGGATAGCCAGATTGACGTGTTGTATCGGGTTTGAATCGATGATTCAAAAAAATTACAAATGAATAAAAAATTAAAATTAAAATAGGGTGGCGATTTAGCGGGGATCTTAGAAAACATTAGATAAATGTGAAAGAAATATGTATTTGCCAAATTTGGATGGTGCTTGCATTCGGGCTTATATTTTTTGTGATGGTTGTGTTGGTTAGGAAAAGCTCAAACTTGTTGAACAGGTGGGAACCCTGGAGGAAGAGCTTAAAGCTGAGAAGTTAAAATGCAGCAAACTATCCCAAAAATTGTAAAGAGAATTTATGAAGAAAACTTTACAGGGAATGCTCCCTCTGTAATTTTGTAATAGGAAACCACTTTTTGTTATTGAAAGAGAAGTGCTTCAGAGATGAGCCCTGCTTGTTAGTTACTCTATATGACTCTCTCGCTCCCCCTCCTCTCTCTCTATAATTTTGTGGTAGGATCACTCTCCTTTGTATTTGAAAGATGGGTGCTTAAGAGCTCAGCAACATTTTCTTTTGTAATTTAAAGAGAGGTGCTTCAGAGTTATTAGGAATCTCTCTCTCTCTCTCTCTCTTTCT